CTCCGTCGCGGGGGCTCGCCGCCTTCCCCGCCCGCGCCCGCCCCCTCCGCTGCGGCCCCAGGGTACCGCGGCCTGCTCTGCTCTCCTTCGCTCTGTTTTTTTTTTAAATCTGTCGGCTCGATCTGCTGTCTCTCATAGTACTAACAGGATTCGATTTTCTCGTCTCAGGACACCATGGAGGCGCTGGAGCGGGACCAGATGCTCAACGCGGTGGAGCTGGAGCAGTGGGAGAGCGGCAAGTCCGTCAACGACATCGCGGCCTGCCAGGGGATCCGCATCCGCCGCCACTGCCGCCCCGCCGCCTCCATGGCGGAAATCGAGGCCGAGATGGGCGCCCCCCGCAACATCCTCGAGAAGATCATCTGGGACAAGGAGATCGAAGTGGCCCAGGTATGATACAGTCCATACATTTCTGTCACCTGTTAAGGTTGCTCTGCGATTAGGAAAGTTCTTATTGCTCTGTCTGTCATAGTACTTATATTTGGATTTGGTCTTGCTTAGCTACAATCGATGATCATTTTGCCCAGGTATAGTACAGTGCACATTTGTGTCACCAGTTAAGGTTGCTCTGCGTTTAGGAAAGTTCTTATTGCTTTGCCTGTCATACTTATATATCTGGATTTGGTCTTGCTTAACTGCAATGATAATCATCTCACGATTTGAAATATGCACTCCCTCCATTTTTATTTACTTCCCATATTAGGTTTGTCTAAAGCCAAACTTTATATACTTTCAACAAGTTTGTAGAAAAATATATTAACATAAACACCACCAAATCAATACCATTGAATTCATCATTGTATATATTTAAACATCATATAAATTTGATACTGTAAATGTTCATATTGGTTTTTACAAATTTGGTCAAACCTTATAAAGTTTGACTTCAGCCAAAGCTAATATGTGGAGTAAATAAAAACAGAGGGAGCATGTCCATTCTCATAATTTTAAAGGGAGCACTTGGTTGAAATCCTTTTGTCTGGAGCACAACAGGAATTTCACTTATTTTGTGATGAACCTATACACAAATACATAGCCTTAATTGAAACCACTGACAATTCTCCACCTATAACACAGATGTGTATGTGTAGTCTGGCTTTTCTACATCCCACGGATTACTGATTGGAGGCTCCTTTCTATTCCACAATCTGTGTAGTCTGAATGTGAAGTGGCAAATGACATATACTTGTGTATGTTTCTTCTTATGTTAGTGGGTATGGCGTCATATATATGATGGGTGCTATTCATCTTGTACAGGGGCTTGCAAGGAGTCCTCTGAACGAGGTGATTGAGTCTGCAGGGAAGGCTCCTCCTACACGAGACTTCTATGGTGCGCTGGCAGCAGCCCACAAGCGTAATGGGGTGCCAGCATTGATCGCTGAGGTCAAGAAGGCATCACCAAGTAGGGGCGTACTCAGGGAGAACTTCGATCCTGTGAGTTCTGGTTTCATTCATAGTTGCCATCAGCTCTAGTGATTTCAAAGATTATTAGTGAAATAACTAATGCTAAAAAGTGTTGTAGGTTGAAATTGCTCAAGCTTATGAAAAGCATGGAGCTGCGTGCTTGAGCATCTTGACTGATGAGAAGTACTTCCAGGTTCGTTGTTTAAAAGTGTATCTGTTTCTGAGGATGGTAGATGTTGTATTTACTGGGCAAACTAAATGTATTTAATTCTATAGGGAAGTTTTGAGAATCTTCAGAAGGTGCGCAAAGCAGGAGTGAAGGTACTGACAAATAGATATATATGTTCGTTAAATGTGAAGAGGATTTTTCCGGGTCACCATTTTTTCTCAACATACTGTTATATTTGTTGTAAATGCAGTGCCCCCTTCTGTGCAAAGAGTTCGTCGTTGATAAATGGCAGATCTATTATGCCCGTGCGATGGGTGCTGATGCAGTTCTGTTAATTGCTGCTGTGCTAACTGATCTCGACATAAAATGCTTTCTTCGGATATGCAAGGAGTTGGGATTGACAGCTCTTATTGAGGTCTGACATATGTTTCAATTTCTCAAATGAACAGTAATTATTATTTCTCAAATGTGATCTTTATAGTCTTCATACAACTAAGCTTTTGTTTTTATTTTAGGTTCATGATGAAAGAGAGATGGAGCGTGTCCTCGCGATAAATGGTGTTCAGCTTATTGGCATCAACAACCGCAGCCTTGGTATGAGCTTCTTCTAGTGCTCACTTTGTCTAGTAATTGAGTAAACATATGCTACAAACTTTGACACATCACATTTGCATTTCTCTGAGTCAAGAATTATCCCTTATCTGGTGAATGTATCATTTTTCTTATTATATCAAGAATTATTTATGATGCAGAGACATTTATAGTGGATACTTCGAACACGAAGACGTTGCTGGAGAAGCATGGTGATGCCATCAGGGAGAAGGGAATATTGGTACTGTCCCATGCTAATTTGTGATTTTTTTGTGGTCTTATATGCATGTAGAGATCTCATGCATGTATGTGTTTTGACTGAAGAAAAACATCACTTAGTCCCTTATATGTGTGCTCTAATGGCTAGTCATCCCTGAATGGTTACAGACATACAGTAATTAAATGCCATACACCATGAAAGTCCTTAAAAGACATATTTTTCAGCCTGTTGAACCCATAAACTTGAATTCACTTTGATTACTGTCTTAACATAGTTTAAAACAAAATTTACAGTGAAAGTAAACCAGGAACAAATTATTTTACACACATGGAACTCTACACAATTCTCTTTGTCATGTTAAACTTTGGTATTATCTGAAGTTCTATCATTGTTGCGAGATGCTGAATGTTTGCATGCACCTCAAAGTCGGACATACCTGTTCATTTTTGGACTTTGATCGCAAATTCCATGAATTGGCAAGGTCCTTTTGATTCTATGATCTCAAATGCTTGTCATGAGCTTTCTTTGCTAACCTTTTCTCCCAACCTTTTTTTTCCAGGTTGTTGGCGAATCAGGGCTATTCACCCCAGATGATGTTGCTTATGTGCAGAATGCTGGAGTCTCCGCTGTAAGTTATCTGTTTGCTTGTGGATTGATACAGAAATTCTGTGTGACAAAAAAATTGTGCATATATATTGAATCACTCAGTAGTCTATCTCATTTGCTTTTCCCCCTCTCTAGTTGTGTGCTGACACGTCTGCCAGTTTCTCCACGCCTATGTCTTTCTTTTTCTTTCTTTCAAGTTTCAATGTACCTCAGTTTTGGCCTACAAAATATATGCTATAGAAACTATCAAACAGCCGCGGCATTTCTTGGGGTATGAAATGATGTGTTTACCAAAAGGATGCCTTTCCTTGCTCGTCTAGCTCTGTTGATTCTTCGAATGCCTTCTTGAATCATGTTTGACTTAAATAAACTTTCCCGTCGATGATGTAGGTTTTGGTAGGAGAATCCTTGGTGAAGCAAGCAGACCCTGGGCAAGCCATCGCTGGGCTCTTCGGCAAAGAACTGGTGCACTGAAACAGCAAGATCAAACCTGCTGATGGTAGATTAGTAGTAGTAGCTGCCAGACCACCGCATAATGAATAATAGTGGTCTCATTATTTTCTTTTGGATTAGCAAATAAGATTTGATCTTTTTTATGCGGGAAATAAACATATTCTTTCTGATGGGGAATAAATGTAACCAAATTAATCCAATGACGACTACAATTCTCCGTCACAAGTCCATAAATCTTTTTGATTTTTGGTTTGGTTGGGGTGCTTCAGTCCAAGGCTATAGTGCAAGACCATGGCGACGCTTGAGGGCCCCAGCAGCTAGCTGCTATGGTGGGCCCTCCCCCACAAAAAATTAAATTAATATCATAGGATGGATCTAAAGATTCACATATCAGATATTAAACTGATAAGAACAGATACTACACTTGATCTTGGCCGAGAGGCCAAGAAAGGTATGATTTGGAGGTTGCCCCTGTCACTGGTTTTATTGATCTGCGAACCGCCTCTGCCCGTGTGCGAGAGCGATGCGGGACTATTCCACCCACGAGTCGAAGGCTGCGTACATTCGACCAAACAACCAGAGGGACGCGCGAGCCTGGGCCGAGAAGCCCATTAACAAGGTAGCTGCTGTCCACAGGCGTATAGAATTAGGGGATTTGCAGCCTTCCCTCCCGTACCAACGACTGTTCGTTGCAGTAATACAAAATCTGACAGGAGGTTTTGCAGCTCAACGTACCGACGGGTAGCACCCGTAAAAAAATTTTAATCTATTCATCTTCGGTCATGATAGTACGAACATAAAAAATAATAGATTTTTTATTCAGATCCCTAAACC